GCAACTTTATAATTGTTAACCTGTTAGCAAGGAAAGAATCACAGCCTGGCAAACTAATCACCGTTCCGGCAGGAAGACAAGACGCCTCTTGACAGTCAGACAGCTCTTGCTGCCAGAGTGACCAATCACCAGAGCATTTAGTTATGGTTGGCATTCCAATAGTGGAACCAGCTTGGAGTAGATTAGAGGCAGGAGAGAGAAAATAGGGCTTGATGATATCAACAAGCAGCTGATGAGCTTGTCTCCCAAGAAGACGAACACGACATAGCCGACCGGTCCTATCGGTGATTCGTAAAATGGAACTATTGAAGTCATTTGTCAACCCATTCGTTAGTTCATTTTCTTCTGTTTCTCTAGTTGCATCCAACTGTAGCTCTTCCTCTCTCTTATGTTCACTGGAATTCGTGTTCATCTGGCTTAATTGGAGGATCTTATGATGGTGGAGCACCTCATTGAGGCGGCTGGAAATATCTGTATGGGCTGCAGGATGAAACCATAGCCAAGCAAGTCGGCGCGAGTTAGTTGAATCATTTTGCACAGTAGTAAGGCGCTGAAGGCAAAAGTTAAATGAGATAGACTGTATTAAGAAGCAGCTATATCATGGCTTTATTATGTGTGGCTAAATAAAAGGGCGAAAATAAAGTAATCAAGCATGCATGGCAGATGAGTATATATATGAGCGAATTAAAAGATTCGAATGATAATCAATCCTAAGTACAATGAGGTATTAAACAAGCCTAGGTAGTCACTCAGTTTGGCCATAATGATGAAGAGGTGGAAAGAGAGTCAAAAAGTAAACAAAGATTAAAGAATAAACTACAAATAAGATTCATTAGAAAAATCAAATATGTACTTCAGTGCGACGTGAATAAATTTGTCACTAGTTCCATGTAACAATATGCGACAAAAACAACATAATCATAATAAATGCCCTATCCGTCGCTTCGCCTAACTAGGTTTAGCCTCAAGTAGTGCATACCTATGCCTGGCTTATTAGGTGAAGATAAATTCTAATAAATGTGAATTTTATGCATCATTTTTTATCGAAGCTAAGAAGACAAAAATGGTGTATTCTCCATTAGCTGTATATAAGTCGTTTGAACTAGTTTTCGTAAAGTGACAGTGCTGTCAGGGAGACCTCGTCGAATTCACCATTTTCAAATTCCTTTGCAGCAATATTCAGCGTCTGGTCAATATACTTGTTACCTTAACAGGCTATTGATATTCTTGGTAGTAATAGTAGTATGATTGGATTTGGGTCGATTATTTTGATCTGTCTTTCCTTTAGAAGGGATCCGTAAATTTATCCTACAGAAAGCCAAAGAAGGCTTGTCTTGGAGCAATGCATCTAGACTTGTTCGAATGATTCCTCAATACACCGTCCGGCGAATTCGAACAATTACTTGATGCTTTCGTCTGTAAAGTGATGGGAATCGTCAGCATTAAAGTATGCTTCACAAAAATTCACCATAGTCTAAGACAAGAAAGATGACCGGCTGCATTCCTACCCTTTTTATAGCCTGACGTTATCCATGTGATAAGACATCTCAATATTTGTTCAGTCACTCAATGAGTGCAACTAAGTGGCTTTGTTCTCTCGATCTTGTTTTCACAAGTTGATTGCAGCGTCAGGAAGACCTTGTGGAGTGCACCTAGTTCTGCGTTCTCTGCCATAGTATTCGTGATTTCCAGCATCGGACTATCGACTTGGTACATTACCAAACGTTTCGCCGACATTGTAGTCGGCATCGTCAGTGAGAGGCGCTATCATTGGCAAAGAGTTACAACTTATCAAAGTGACAAGTGAAAGCAATCTGATCAACCGTTTTAGCATCACTCCTTTCCACTATTTTTTGTTCTGCCTTCTAGTGCTG